CTCACTAAATGCAACCGTGTCAATGGATGTCACAAACCAGATTAAGCAAAAGAATTGCAAACCACAAATGTTATCTCATGGCACTTTATGTATATTGCAAACTCCATGAATTAGTATTAGAAATTAGAATATCGGATAACATTTTAGGAAGGTAAGGGTTGGGACACATCAGGAATACCCAGGATGAGATTCGGAAAATAGCAATGTTGAATTGTAAAATTTAAAAATATCAATATAAACTCATAATCTTTCAAATATATAATTCCTCACTCTGCCCACTGAAAGAGCCTAAGTTTTGCCACATGAAAACCCAGCAGCCACGAGCACCCACAAAACACAGGTTTTGGCAACTAAATACCATTTTTCCACTGAAAGGACCCCCAAACTCCTTGAAGAACCGCTAATCCAGGTTTGGGTCAATGAATATTAGAATATTAGAAAATATTCTAATTTCTAATACTAAGTCTGGGACATCTTGTGGCAGAAACTAAGAAAAGTCTCAAAAATTAACAACATGTCAAAAGGACCCAGATGCTAGCTTGAAGGAGATCCCACTGGACACATTTGGGAAAATTTTATATAAAAAAGCATAATGACCATAATTGAGTAAAACACATGGAATGTATTTTTTTAAATCCGCGAGTGCTTAATGACACACCAAAAGAGAATGACTATTCCCTCAGCTTCTGGTCCTGATATGGCAACTAAAGGGAAGGAAACAATGATTTATCTTGTATGTATAGGTAACTGCTAGCTAGTATAGATGGGAGGAATGATAAAATCAGAAAATCACCACTTTTAATTTTCTCATGAAATAATTGATCCAGGCAAAAATAATCAATGGATGCTAAGAGCCTAAACAACAGTTGATGAGGGTGAACTAGATTTTCACTCGGTAGCTAAGAAGCATCCCACAGATTACTCTCTAGTCCCAAAGGTGAAAATGTGACTGTACCTGGGAGACTTCTGGCTGTCACCAACTTAAACCAGAGACTCAGCATAGGGAGCATCGCAGGCCACCCCGCGAGGCGCGGGGTCCGGGCTCCAGGCTCCGGGTCTTGGCGGCGGCCGCGGGGGAGGCGGGCACGTGGTAGGGAGGGCGCTCCACCTGGCCACGCTGCCGACCTCTCGGGCTGGCCCGGCCGGACAGGCGGGCGCAACGGCCGCTCTGCGCTGTCCCGGAGCTGGGCGCGTGAGGCGGCACGGCCGCTCGTCGGGGCGGTGGGCTCCAGAAGTGGGTGGGTCCGCCCGGGCGCTCCCCGCCCAGTTTCGGACCCCCGATGCCTGCCTCAGAGGGCACCGCCGCCCGCCGCCGCGTTCCTCGACGCCCGGGTCCCGCTAGGCCAGCGTTGGGTCCGCGACCGCCCACGACTAGGCGGGCCAGTGGGCGGTGCCCCGGCGCGGCCCGACCCCCCGAGCGGGACTTGGAGAAGTCGGAGCCCCGCCCCCGGCCCCGCCCCTCGTCTCCTTCCTGCGGGCCGTCGGCGCAGTGAGCGGGGCGCTAGGGCGAGTTGTGCAGCTGATCCTGCGCAAAACCACGCCGCCGCCGGCGGCCCGCACTGGCTGCGGAGTGCGAGAGGCTCGTCCGGGCACCGCGCCTGGCGCCGGCAGCGGGAGCAGGTAGCGCAGGCCACGCAGGACCCAACTGAAAGAAAGTGTCGGCCGTCCGCAACTCCGCTGCGCACCACGGCTTCCGAGGAGCTGTACGAGGTAAGGTACCCCCACCCCGGCCCGCCCCCGCGCCGCCCCTGCCCGGCCCGGCCGCTTCCAGCCCCGCGGGCCCGGAGCGCAGCCCGCTGCTCCTCTCGGCCGCTCCGTCCGGCCGCCTCCC